CGAATACGTCCGTGTGTCGCAAGTTTTCGACAATGAGCTGTTATCACCGAAAAACTGTTAAATGCTTTTTCAATGCTCAGTTTATCTTTCGAAAACAACTAATTTCTTAATTTAAAAAAAAGTCATGTCGTTTTTCCATGGAAATCAAAGCCAAAAGATCGCACGACATTTTCGGTAAATCTCTTCCGGGTTTCGTTCACCATGAAGTCGGTGACCTGTCATTAACATATTTAAATGAACCAAGGTAATTTGAACACGTGGGCACCATCCAGCATTTTGATTGGTTAATTAGCGACTTGACCTATTTGGTCAAGTAACGTGTCGTGTGCATTCAAACTACATGGCGGATGTCTTATTGCATCGATCGTTTACATTTGACCGAAATAATTCGCTTACGGTGAAACTAAGTTGAATTTTACTTGCATTTGATAACAATTCAACAAATTTATTTTTCGTGCATTATTATAGTCACTACTGAGTAATAATCAACAATTTCAACACTTCAAAAACAAGTAAGTTATTCACTTGTGAGCCGAAGCATGGCCGGATTGCGTTACCGTACCCACGGTACCGTACTTTTTTAGTGCTTGTTTTTGTTTGAAACTCCTGTCAGAATATACTTTCCGTTACGAAGAAAATTAAAAAAATAAATGCATATTACAATAAAAATACTGAGTATTTTTTTCATGTGAACAGTTTTTTTGTGACGTGACGCTTATCACTCTTCCCTGACATCTAAATTGGAGTTACCCTTATATTCAAAAGATGTACGGGGTATTGTTTGTTTTGAGCAAGTGATGTGGGAAAAAATGACCACGCCCATTTAGTTATTGCAATATGTACGTAATAGAAACCGCACCCCGAACTTGAGCTGTTGATCCCAATTTTGTATTTGATACATTGTAATATAAACCGCGGTTTATAATAGGATTTTAACGGTAACTCAATGGGTAAATGACTTGAAAATACTTTTGTATCAAGGAACAAATTTAAAGCACTGAAATATGCTATAACCTAGATATATTATAATAGATAGGACTGATCTGTCTCTTGTTTGCACTGGTGATCATTTGTCTCAGACACAAATCTTACAAATACTGGAGTATGTACTAAAATTAGCCTAAAATTTCGAGTACACTTAAGAACGGCCTGGTGAATCACTATGTAACTAGTTTTCTAGAATACTGTAGAATACTTTATGTTCGCTTGGAATTTATTTTCGCTATTTTCGTTGAAGGGATGATTCTGTGAAAATAAATCCAGCGAATATGCGTTTTTTCCTATATTTCACATTAAACTCATCAAAAATCAGTGAAAATAAATTCCATACAAAATGTCAAAAAAGCCTTTTCAGCGAAAATTAATTCCAGCGAAAATAAAGTATTCCACAGTAGTTTGTGAACAATACCTTTAAGTGCCTGGCTGACAAACCTATCATCTTCAGCATCATCATCACTACGCCTTGGAGATAAAGATGGCATTTCAGGTAATGGAGGAAATTCCTCTATTTCTTCTTCGTCCATGTCATTATCATGGAAGTTATCCAACAAGTCAATTGATGTGGCCATCATTCTGAAAGATGCAGACAATTAACAGTCCAAGCCATTAGTTAAATTTGAACAATGTCTTAATGTGTCCTAATGTCTGTGTTTTAAAACTATCATTTATTAAGAAGGAGCACACTGGCTTATTTGGCCAATATTTTTATATTGGTACAGTTAGTTGATTTTCATTTGAGGTGAAAATTTCTGATAACAATTAAGTCGCAAAAAAAATAAATAAATAGGAATGAGACATTTTGCTCACAGTCAATCGTTCATTTCTAGTTTAGCACAAAGATTTTTTTTTAAAAAACAAATTAAAAGAATACATCTAATGATTATTTTTTTTTAAATGAATCAGGTACGTGAATTATTTTTTTTTTTGTATCAAGTGTAGATTGAAATACTGCATGAGAAAGCCGGTCTGTGTTGACTACGAGGTTGGTCGCAGTTGATATGTCATGTGAAGGCATGTGTGTACATTATAGGCATAGACAATTTTTAGCTCTGAGCCAATCACTATTAAAGAGTGGTGGTTGTTGTTCAGTGGGTGTATTTTATTTGCGATTTTTTATTTTATTTTATTTGTGTGAGTTACATATTGAAAAGGACACAGCGTGATGACCTTAGGTATTTCCCCTTAAGAACAAATTCTATAGAATTCTCTAGAAGTTTTTTGTAAGGATAAATTTGAATGAAAGCTGATAAATGGTATTTACAAATTATAATTTGTTTATAAAAGCCCCAGCTTTGTGCCCTCCACTGTATCATTAATTTTAGTGTAGTATAACATTTAAAAAAAAAAATTTAATTATCACAAATAATATTCAAGTAATATTCAAGTAATATTCAACTACTATCCTCGGGGGCGGACATCCGGGCATTTTCTACCGCCTGGCAACCCTCGCGGTGAAAACAAAGGCCAAAACTCACAGAAAACGGTACTTTGGGATGGTTGTTGAGAGTCCCCTGAACAGTGTAACAAGATTAGCCCTACGTGTGTAACATATATGAATTTGGTTGTTCGGGATTACTTCAAAGTTGAGTTTGTGTTGTTTTCTCGAATTTTCACCGGCTCAAACGACGTTCCACAGCAGCGTGCCCAGAGCCCATAGAAATGCATGTACAGTGGTGGGCGTCATAGCAACGTGGAACGTCTTGTGACGTAGCCCCCCCCCCCCGAGGATTGATGATGAGGGCGCCATTTAGAGGAACAAATTCAGGGATTACTCATTTGTAATCTGGAGGGATAGAGTTTTGCTGGAAAAACATTGAGAGGGAAAATAATAAATTTCTCATTGTTCACTGAGTATTGTTAATCAATGAGGGGGGGGGGGTGATACGCGAAAACAAAACTTGGCATCATGCAGATGTGAATAAAAACTCCAACTCCCCAGCTTTAAGATTGGTACTGTACCGCTTAGAAGACAATTGAGAAAAGAAATTGTAGAATTTATGGAATGAGAATACGATTGTGGTTCAAAGCATATATAGTACACTGTCTATATTGTACCATGTTAAACGTTTAAGTTCAAAAGACGATGGTCTTTCCATAACACCCCAAGGTCGATCAGACCACGATCACTCATAAACGTTATTTTGTGGTCACAAACAGAGTTACATATTAACTGTATCGCTGCAAACACAACTTTCAGATCGTCAGAATACTTACTTCAATAGCTGTTATATTTTCTAGAGCAATACTTGCAATCCAAAAACTTACGGAAGTAATTCTTTTTAATTTCGCGGGTCTTTCACTCATGTGTCAACTCGATCGTCCAATCAGACTACTGAGGATAAACTTTGACCTATTCTCATCTGCTACCACTGAGGGCGCACATAGACGTTATTTTGTATTTTTACTGTACACGTCGTAAAAATTGAACTTTCTTCAGTGCATATTTCAAAACACAATCACTCAACGATGATGTGTTGTGGTCTTTTTTTACTTTCACGGCCTCGTAAGATGACTGTGGGGTCAACAATGCTATTTTTTTTTTAATTAGTGAACGCTGCTGGGACCTATATGAATGGTATAAGGGAATCCTAGCTCTTGGTAAATACTTTAAGTGTCATCAAAGAAGTAACCGTGACAGGATGGATACACAATGATATTTACTTACTTTTATGTGGATTTTCTCAGAATAATTACATGTAATTTATGGATCGTATGTAATTTATCATGACCATAATTCATTGTAGTCAAATCTGTAGCTGAAAAGCCCAAAATCTGATATGGACGTGTAATGGTTTAATTTGTCATTTTT